TCTGACCAGGAAACCATTGTCTTGGACTGCTACCACCCCCAGCATTGCATAAGGCTTAATTCCTATGATTCTTCTAAACAAAAATATGAGAAATAGGAAGACCATGTGTGAATGTCTGTGAGCCTGCTAGGGAGCTGCAGTTTTCTTTGGGAGCAGCACTAACTAATGGAGCAGCGAGACTTTCACTGGCATATTGCAAACGGATGGAGCTTGTTCCACATATTTGACTTATACTTCATGCAGAGACGTTGGCAGTGGTTATGAAGCAAGGTTACTAGTTTGCACAAAGGAGCCTTAACAGGAAGTAAGATTTTAAATAACATCTCTAAATTTGAAATGCAAAGATTTCCAGTGCTAACTTAGCTCAGTTTTCAAGAAAACAGAATTACACGAGTAAGGGCACATTCTTGTTTTCATTACTATGCTAACAGAAAAAAAACTAAATGTACCTATCTTGTCATCCATGCTTAAATGTAATGCAACATTTATCAAGCTCCTCTAAAAATACAACAAGCTGTCTCAGGGATGCTGAGCTAAATATATAGTTGAGATCATAATTTCTCTGTTCAACATCTACTGGAAGTACACAGCAAACCCTCGGTTTCACGGGTTGTTCTAAAGTAAACGCTGTCTTGAAGGTATCATCCTTTTCACTGCAGGATGTCATCTGAACATCTGTTTAAACCTCACTTGGTCAATTTAGGACAAAGCATGTGCGGCACCTTATAAAAGGAATAGAGCAGAAACAGTGGAAAAGGTTAAACTTTTCTCTGCCCTTTTCCCTTCCCTTCCCTTCCCTTCCCTGCAGTGCTCCCAGCTTAGCACAAGTGACACTGAATGAGAAAGGCTAACGCGGTGTGACTTGTCACCGTCTGTGTAACGCACTTAGCACATGTAACAGGTATGAAGGGATATTAGTCTGAACTTCCGGAGTTTGCATTTTGTTTTAATGAAAATGATGTACAGAGTTCCTTATGCTGAGGCTCAGATTTATTCATAGAACAGGTTTTATCTCTTTTTGTTCAAACTTAGTGGACATTAGAATAATATTAAGTACTGCCTCTCTCTTTAGAGGTTTTTTTTTTAATTGCTATAATATACTGATCTGATGGTCTTTTCTACATATAACTTGTATGGACTTTTTTCTTGGCAAGATGTCTGAGCTTTTCTTCTTACACCCAGAATATGTGTTGTGGGACAGGCAAAGAATCCCAAAAACTACTCCGGCATATTGGTTTCCACATTCTGTGAGGAGCAATTGCTGTAATGGATGCCAGTACATAGGCTTAGACACATTATATCTCATCAAACTGATTTTAGTGCTGCAGTGTAACATCATGAGATTTGACAATAACAACACGTAATGTTTTGAGAGCCTGCATGTATGTTGTGTCTCTACTTACACAAATCAGAGGAAATTTTGCAAAATCCTTTATGGTTTGAGACTTCAAGTTGAAATATTCCGGGGTTTTTTGCATCTAGCCATGAGTGCCCTGAGTAATGTGTAGTTCAGCTTTTACTGGATAGCTGAAGTTTGCAATCAGATCTTGTCCTTTTTGGATTTTAATTTTTTAGTGATGAAACACCAGCCTCAGCTGGGCCTGATCCTTTGCAAGGCTTCCAAGTGCTCCCCAAACAAAAGTGACTAGTAAATCGTTTCCAGTTCCTCTGGTCAGAGTTCTCTTCTGTGAGCTGATGGTTTGTATTCAAATTCATTTTTATTTTTTATTGGTATTATGGCAGTGTCTAAAGACATAAACCTATATTGAGAGCTCACTGTGCTGACACTGTAATATGCATAGAGATACTCTCTGTGCAAAATGCTAGAGAATGCAGGGGTGTAAAAGGAAGCAATTTCCCATTTTAGAGACCAGAAGCTACGAAGAAGAAAAGAGAACGACATGCTCTGCAGGCATAACAACTTCATCTTCTTCCCCCTTAGCCCTTTATAATCATGCCAAAATAGACTATTTATGTCATTTAATGATGACCTGTGAATGGCATGTCTATCGCAGCCTTTTAAAATGTACAAGTGACAAAGTATTCCCAATAACGTTTAATTAGCATAGTGAATGAAGATTTGTGAGCATTGCCAAAATGCATTAGGGCTAATATTGTGGGAGGTCTAGCTATGGGCTAAGGGACTACTCAGCTGAGATTGCCAGTGCATAGCTGATCTGGCTATTTCAAATTATCGGAACCGAATTAAATGAAAACATACAAGCAGATAATGAATGGAGCTGTTGGCTAGAAAATTCTCCAGTATTAAATCAGAAGCTTCCTTTAGGGGCTGTTAAAATACAGTGACTATATCTTAGGCTGTACGTTCATCATCAGTATTATAAGTGAGTCTGAGATTGGCCTGGAGGAGGATTTTAAAATTGAGTTTTTGTTATGTACTTTCCAAAGTTCATGCACAGTCTTCAAGCCCTGTGCCGCTTCCCCCAGTGTGCTACCTCCAGTTGCAAATGAATGAGGCTCTTCTAGCCTGCATTCATATTTTTTAATTGCTCTTAAAAGTCACAACCTGATTACAGACTATCAACAGGCCCTTGGGGAGTAAAGGGGAGACGGGTTCAATCCCTGCTCACTGCAGGGGGTTGGGCTCAATGATCTCTCAAGGTCCCTTCCAACCCAAAGCATTCTATCATTCTGAGTTTGCAGCAGTGCAGCAGCCATGTAATGTTGGCAAGGATGGTTCTGCTCAAGGCAGGTGCTGAGCAGCATCCTCTCTCACTTGCACAGTTTTACTTTCTGTGATGGGGTCTGTCTTTCGGGTTGCATTTGGTGCCTGCCCCAGCCCGTGGGGCAGCACTGAGGGGCCGTGATGCTGCACTACGCACGAGGGATGTCGAAATGAGAAGGACCCGCTTGCCTCTCAACCCATGGTGGTCAGCCTGTTTCATTTGGTTACCGTGGCTCTTGGGAGGAGTGCGTGAAGTGAGTAAATAGTGTGGTGTGCAGTGGTAGTAGGTGGTGTATTTCTCTGTTGGATCAGCTGAGACCGTCGCAGGTGACAGCCAGGGGCCTCTCCTGGTGCTGGCCGGGCAGATTGTTGTGCAGGGACTGGAGAGGGCTGCCTGGCTGTGAAACACCTGCAAGAGTCAGATACCGTAGTAGAAGTAAATGTGTCAAATACCTGTGAATATGATGTGTCTTTTTGTTGAGGTATTGCTCATTTCTCTGATATGAAAGCAGAGTTAGGTGATAAAACACTCTACGTATTCCACCAGTATGATTTTTTTTTTTCCCCCCACCAGTTTAATTTAATTTGATTTTCCTCCATTTCATCTGCCCAGCCCTTGACAGCCTACCTGTTCTGGTCCCGGAGTCCTAGTAATCCCAGCAACAGCTGCCACCCTGCAAAGGCTGGAGGATTGCTGGCTCTCGGATTGCCCTGGCCAGCGGGCAGCCCTGGACTCCTTGATGGCTGGCTCCTGCCCTCACTGCTTAGCTCCTGACCCCAAACTCCTCTGGCTCCAGGAGCAGTGTTTTTGAGAATTACGGCTGCTTCTCATTGTTCCACAGCCATTAATATGGGCTGTATTTTTGGTTCCTGGCCATGCGGCTTGGCTCTATTAAAACAGATGTTGTCCAGCTACAGCCTGCTTTTCTAAGGGATCTGGATCGCTCAGCATCAACCGCCCGTCTTCATCTTTATTTACTGCTCTTCTAAGTATAGCTGTTTTCAAATTTAATTGGGGATGATGATGTGGATAAAAGTGTTAAATACCCTGGGACCAAGATCTGATCCCAGCAGGACCCCTCTGGAAACATACTGACTCAGTGGTTCCTGTTTAAAATTAGATTCTGACACCTGTCAGCCAGTTTTTTTATTTAATGTGTGCTGTGTTCACTTCGTATCATTCTGGTTTCTCAATCAAAATATCAGCCGCCTTGCAGAAGTCTGTTCCACAGACACCGTTATCCCTGTTAACCACATCTGTTGTCTCAAAGTAGAAGGTTGTTTGACAGACTCTGTTTTCCACAAAACTTTGTTGATTGCTGTTACTTATTTCCTTTCTTTCTTAATCATGTCCTGTCTCCACTATTCCATTATTTTGCTGGGATAGATGCCAGGTTGACAGGCTTATAATTATCTGGGTCACCCCATTTATCCTTTCTAAATATCCTTTTCTGGAACTTTCCTATTGTGCCACACGTTTGTTGAAAATTAACATGCAACAGTCCAGAAAGTCTTCAGCCTTTCTTAAACATTTTGAAGCAGGTATTTGGATATGTTGACTTCAGAAATGCAAGGCTAGGGATCTGACATCCTCATAAATAAAAACTGCGATGAAAGGTGTCCCAGCATTATCCTGTGGCTGTGACTCAATGCTCTGCTGCTTTCCCCAAGCCCTCACAAGCTCACGGTCGCGATGTGCTTTTGGAGCAGTCCTGTGCTTTCTGCGTTACTGGTGTTAATATGGACAACTCTATCACTGCTCTCCAGTAGTGCTGTAGTTATGATTCCCTTTCTTCCTAATATCACTCTTCGGTCTGATATACCATTTAGAAAAAACAAAGGTAAAAAATCAGAAGTTAATGAAAACATTTGCTTTCTTGACCGAGTCTGTTGGGTTATTTTTCAAGGCTCATGGGAGTAACAAATGAGCTCCAAATTTATGGATGTAGCATTAGCAAGTGAACCCATTTTGGAATGGGTTTGTGTCTTTTTGCACAGACGGCTGTCCACAGTCACTCGTTCTCCATCTGGCTGCTATGTGTGGCTACTGGGTTTTTGGACAAACGGCTCTGAGTGTTTGACTTTTCCATGTTCTGTTTAATTTTAAATTCAAATCCCAGATTTGAGAAAAAATTCTTACCTTCCACACTGAGTGACATTATCTTAGGTCTTTCAAATACAGTTGCTGATTCCGCTTCCCCCAAACACAATGGTTTAAAAATCTGCTAGAGTAATGGGCATAAATTAGATGTAAGGGTGCAGGAATATTTTGAGTGTGTTGTGACAGCTGGAAATCGTGTCCTTCCTCTTTTAGGGTGGTTGGTGGCTTTGAGACTCTGACTGCTATGGAGAATGTGGAAAGTGACCCAAAAACAGACCGTCCTAAGGTATGTGTGAAGCACCAGGGGCTGTGCAGGAGGGAGTGGATGCATATGGCCTTGTGTGGCACTGCGGTTCACCCCTCTGCTGCTTCTCTGAAAACCGAACCTGGGGGAGATGGCACAGTTTAATTAGCAGATTGAATTGCTCCTCTTCTCTTGTGCTCCCAGGAGGAAATACGAATTCAGACAACAACCGTTTTTGTTGATCCGTATGAAGAGGCGGATGCCCAGGTGAGGATTGTTGGTTGGTTGGTTTTTTTGAAAGGTCAAAGCTCTTCTTTGGAGAACTTTGTAACTCAATGCCTTATCTTTGAACATGGGCAGCCCCCTGGCCCGTATGGTTGCAAACGAAGATTAAACAGCTGCCATTCAGCATTGCCCTGTGTGCCAGGATCGTCACCGCTCTTTCAGCGGAGAGGTCTTGTAACTGAGCCTGGCACGGCTCCCAGTCCATCACGCTTCCAATGGTTTCCTTTCCAAATGCCTGCAGTTACACTAGCTATGGGTAGCTGCAGGTGAGAAGAGAGGAGTCTTGTTACAATGGCTGTGGACAGCCTGTTTGTAGTGGCCCTTGAGGTGTGTCTCCTAAAGCCTACCCTGTAATCACAGCGGTAGTGATTGCTGTTTTAGAGTGCTTTAAAGCTTCAAAGAATTGTAGGCATTTTCTTCTCACTCTGGACTAGCTCTTGCAACAGATTGCACTCTTTGCTTCCCACAGGTTGCTGCAGAAAGAGAGAAAGTCCAGCTAGAAGAAGAAGCAGCCAAAACAAAAGCTGAGGTGGTCCCACCAAAGAAAGAGGTCCAGACTCCTAAAACTTACCGGCAGGGGATTGGAAAATACATTAACATGGCTGCAGCGTGAGTTCCCTGCCCATCTGATCTTTGTTGAGTTTTTTAGTTGCCTTTCCTGCTGGACACTGGCCCTGTCCAGTGCCATTGCTCAGATGTTTGGTTTGTGCCAGCAGGCTATGCAAAGATGCCTTTATGCAGTCCTAACAGCCAAGAGTTCCCTCTACTTCTGTTGTTTTTCAAGATTGCAAGTTAACTGAGCTTTTCTTTTAGGACTTGAACGTGACCAAGTTCTGACTTCAGAACTCTAGATACATTTCCACAACTGAGAAGTCCTTGAGGAACTGTACTGTGTCACTTCCTACACCATCTTTTATTCTTTTCCTCTTCTGCAGCTCTTTCTGAAGGCCATGGTCCCACAGATGTTCCTCTTTTAGCAGCTTCTCCCCTGCGCAAAGTAGTTGCCTTAAACCCGTATCAGTTTGCTGATCTGGTTCCCTGTTCAGCAGCACGAACAGTTGTAGCAGCGCAACTGAAATGGCCAGAAAGGGGAGCAAGTTCCCAGGCTTGTTGTGAGAGCAAAGGGCATCTGGCAAGTTAACTCCAGGGTGCCTGGCTGGTTGTACAGGCTTGTCCTAAAGCATCCTCTCCCAGACACCCTTTAATACATCCATTGGGATTGGCAGCATCGCTTGCTTTCCTAAGGACAGTACAGAATCCCACCTGAGCGGCAGCTTTGCACGAGTTTTGGATCAATTAAAATAAATGCCTTCCACTTGATTTTTTTCAGACTTCCTTAAAAGTATTTGCAAAAATGCTGTTGTTTGTCTGCAGCATAAAGGCGTGTATTTATGCATACGTAGATAGGGACAGCTATTTAATCAGCCTGTATGTGCCTGCGTGACTTACAGGCATTTGCATAACTGTGAAAACAAAAATATGTTAGCCCATGTAGGTCAGTTTGGTGTGTCAGTTAAATGTTTCAGTTATAAAATATTGCTTGTCCCCTAAAATATTATATTCAGCTTAAAATTGCTGCCATTCTGGGCTGTATTTACAGAGGAAACCCAAGCAGAGTTTGCAGCTCTGTGGAAAGGGCCAAGTAGTACAGAAAGGACTTTTCTTTCCTAGTCCTTCACTCATTGCAGCCTGCCTTGAAACTGGGATTTGGTCCGTAGCAGCCCTTTGGCAGGTTCAGGGTTCTCAGTTCTCCCTATCAGCTACTGATATCTGACAATAAAACTACAGTACATGAGCTGGCTGCATAGTGTTCCCATGGGGTTGCAAACTCTGCTCGGGAGAGGCTGAGAATAGCAGCAGTGACTGCAACAGGCCGTGCTCAAGAAACAGGAAAGGATCTGAAAACCTTGCCCAGCTGCTTTACACCTAATTCCCCATAAATCCTTCTGCTGCCACAAATGCAAGTGAGACGGTGAGGAGAGAACTTGCGGCTTGCATTTTCATTGTGACTGTGCTAAAAAAGTACAGCTGTTCAATTTTCAACTCTGGCCTGAAAAACTTGTTGGATTTTGAACACATTCCTGGAAGCGTTCAAAGCCTGACCCAAACCATCCCCACAGACTGACACACTCTCCCACTTTTTGGGTATGCCAAAGGCCCCCATCAGCACCCCCCTGCAGTCCCCATGCTGGCACAGAGCTTGTGCTTCTCTCTAATTGGTAAGGGACGGGCTGGCTCCAGTGTAGCTGTTGCTGGGAGAGGAAAGGCATCCAGCTGCCCTGGTCCCACCGAACAGTAAATAGTCCCTGAGAGTTGTTTTCATTTTGGCTCCAGGAAGCACAGCATGGAAGATGACGGGCCCTCAACCAGCACAGCTGCGAAGAAAGAGAAAAAGAGCACCGGCTTCGGGGACTTCAGCTCCTGGTAGCAGCGCGGGGAGCCTAGCACTGGGGCAGCACAGCACAAAAAGAAAGGCGGCCTCCCACGTGTCCCCGAAGAGCCCGAAAGACAGTCTGTCCTGGGGAGGGAAGGCACCAGCCTGCTCTTCCACTGGGGAAGAAAACTGTTGCTTTGTTAAGGCTGGTTAATGTGGCTTTGTTTTCTAGAGAGCTTCGTTCCCCCCACTGCATCTTCCTCGAAGGCCTTTTTGTTGTTGTTTTGCTAAGCAGGGAGCAGGCCGCCCAGCTCTGCTGGGGATTAGCTGGAGTCTTTGCTTGGCTGGCAGCAGACCAGGCAGAGCCCAGCCTTGCAGGATGCTACTTCAGTGAACAGCTACGCTGGTGGAAGAGCTCCTTTTACAGGTAATCGTTTCCAGATGAGCCAAGTCTGCCAAATGAAGGAATGAATTGATGTGCTGGGGAAGCGCCTGTGCTGCTTTGCAGAGGGGAGGAGAGGGCTTCAGCCTGTTCTGCCCTTCCCTCCAGCTGCCTTTTGCTAGTTCTCAACAAAGACCAATTCTGTCTCTTGCTCTTTGCAGGCCTGCCTCCTGGCTGGACTGACTGCTGTCAGTCTCTGTAGGGCCTCGCTTACTCCTAAATGAGCTCTCACTGTACCCATTTAAGTCTCTGACAGCCTGGGAAGCCGTGGATCTAGATGAGGAGCCTGGGGTAGCTGCGCCGCTTGTTCCTCCCAGTGGCTGGCCTTCCCTGAGCCACTGAGCAGCCAGAGGGGCCAGGATGCACCACTTTCAAACCTGCCCTAGGGTCCCAGAAACTACAGCCTGGAGCAACTGAGCAGAAATAGAAACTTTTTTTTTTTTTTAAAAACCATCCCTGAAGCCTGCTCCTTGCAGGGGAACACACACCGTAGTCTCCCCAACATCAGTCTTCCCATCATTAGGGAAAACCATGTAATAGAGCTGACAGGCATCTTGGCTATTTCTGTTGCATACCCACAAATTATTAGGAAGCTTAATGAATGCCTTATGGGGTAAAGATATATCAGCCTGTGAAGTTTTAATGTTTTAATCCAAAAACCTATGTGTGTTACCATCACTTAGACATAGCAGGCTAGATCCTGACCATTACTTTCCAGTTCATTTTGGGTGTTTTCAGATGACAGAAATACCCTCCCTACCTCTCTATGTCCCCAAGGAGATAGTTTTGTAATCAGCTTTGTAACAATACATTTATATTGGTGGTTTCCTGTTTTAAGAGAAGATTCCATTTATATGAAATTGCTGTAAAAACTTTTGGTAAAATGTTTTGCATTAAATGCTTTTATTTTCTTTTGAGCGTTTGCCTTTGACGGTTCAACTGTTGTTTCCAAGATCGTGGCATTGCAAAGATGATTGTCTTACAGGGAAATGATTCATTCCTACTTTCTAAGATGCTCATAAGGAACTCTGGGATCTTTGTGGATATGATTACATCTTTGTTAAATCATAGGAAGTTCAAACTAGTCTGAAAGAATAATAGGGGGGTTTTGTTTTGCAAAATTTTGCAGTGTGTAAGTTTGAAATAACACGTGTTTGATTCCTGGAACAGGGGATATGATGGTACTTTCCTCAAGCTGAGTTTCTTGGGTCTTACTGAAACCTCTTGCTTCTCCTGCGCTGGCCTTTTCCTGTTGAAGTGCTATTGATCCCTTCTGCCTAACTTCTGCTTCAGCATGTTTTTGAGTCATCAGGTTCTCAGTATTGCTAGAGCTGGAATAGGCAATTCAATGAAATCCATACGAGCAAAATGCTTTTTTTGTGCTAGATTAAAATGGAGATTATTATGAAAGAAAGGAGCTTTTGATTACAAGGAAGGCAACAGAGATGTGGCAAGGACTCCTATTTCAGCAAGAGTCCTTGTTACAGATTGATATAAGGGACAGTTTCCTTTTGCAGCAGCAGGCTGCAGAGATAACTACCCGCTGTCCCTTTCTACTCCAGCTTTTTTGGCTGTGCAAAGTGCAGACAGAACTGCTGCCTTTCCAAGCACTGCGTTTGCACTGCCCATTTCATTACGATTTCCCACCATAACATCAGACACAAAAGAAAGAGCAGTTTCCTGGCTTCTAGGAAGGGCTGAGCATAACCCTTTTAGTTTTGCTCTAAGCAGGGGTGAAGCTCTTCAGCCTCCATTCTCTGCTCGACCTGAATCCAGTTCTCAGGCTGGTCTGCTGGTGCTCCTTGCTGCTGTTGGTACCTCCCAGGCTGGGAGACGCTGGCTCTGGCCCGTCCCCGGGGTGCCGCAGTGGGGCGTGGAGGTCGAGCCGTTTGGCTGAGGCCACGTGCTGAGTCAGCAACCAAGCTGGGGTTTGTACCGAGACCATCTGCAGGGCAGTGGAACTGTCGGTGCTCAGGCAGACAGACCCTGCAGCAAATTTTTGTTCTGAATTCCCACCTCTCTGCTCCCTCCCATACCTGTATTTTTGCATACGTGGTGAATTTTTTTTTAACTTCAGCTTTTCTTCTGATTGACAAAACCACAGGGACAATGTGACACAAGCTCTTCTCTAAAAGATGAAAGTGGTGAACCATACTGATAGTGGCACAAGGTGGGTGCCCAGAGAGCAGGGCAGTGTGGTGTAGCCCTCATTTTTAAAAAACCTGGCTCTTTGCTGGGTGACTTGCAGAGTTTCCACTACCTGAGTCAGGAAAGGGGAGGAAGGAGGCTTTGCTGAAACCTTTTCTGCTGCTTTTATGGCTTGGTTCTCCAGCAAGGGCAGTGCGTTAAGGGAATACCGAAACCAGCTCCTGCCGTGGCTGGAGGGGTAGGCAGGAATTGTGCAACCTCACTACAGAAAATCACTCCTGGGAACTGCTGTGCTATTTGTAAGCACATTTTTACATTCTTTGACTTTGACACTTTTCCAGTAAAAGTGCTTAGAGAGGAAAAGTAGGATTTTAACCAGAGGCTGAAATAGCTTTTGTCTGGCCTTGGTTAGAATAACGCCAGCACTCTCTTACTTTGCATTGCTCCATACCTGAGTCATTTTGCTGAAAATCAGAGGCACTGGGTGACCAGTAAATCCATCATTGCCTGAGATCTGGCACTGTAGCAGCAAACACCATGAGCGCAAAACATCTTCAAGAAGGCGGTGGCATGCAGTGGGGCTGGCAGCCGTGACCGCTCGTTTCCATACAGCCGCACAAAGACGCGGGGCTCTCAGGAGGCTCAGCTCTTCACCTCTGCTTTTTCTGGCAGGAATTCAGCCTGGCCCCTTAAGGACTGTAGTATTGTCTGTGTGGGAAACAGCACTAATTGAATGGTTTTCAAGCTAAATAGCTGCAGCTCTCTTTCCATATTTACCAAGAAAAAAAGCCCAAAATATTGTCGTTGAGTTTAATATTGCCTGTTCCCACTGGCTTGAATTGCTACAACCCGCTCTCCCGGAAGCAGGAGCTTGTACAAGAAATTGCTGTGCTTCGGTGTCACGTGGTGGATTGTACTGGTACCCATCTCATGTGGGGCCGTGAATTGTGAGTATGTAGTCAAACCCTGTGTTTCAAGGTCTCCAAAAAAATCCTGCTTCTCCCTCCAGCTCCTTTCAAGACAGGGACCAGGCAATGAGTGTTCCCCAGAGCCCAAGCCACCCTCAGCCATAAGGGCAAGGGGCTCAGTGGGGCGGAGCAGAGGCACATGCAGAATTGTCCAGCGTGGCTTGGCTTACTTACCATCTGTGCTAAATTTACTCCAATTTACTACTTCTCACTGTGAATTAAAAACCACGCAGAGCATACCTCTACCGGGTAGTGCTCCGGGCAAAGGGCCGTTGTATCCTCTTGAGCCTGACCAGCGGGCACAGAGGTGGTGTTCCGGCCCTGGCCCAGCTGCTGTTGGGATGCCGCTGGTACCAGAAGTAGAGCAGAGCACAGGCAGAGACAAATGGACAGAGACAACCTGGAGGAGCCTGCGATGGTCGATACGACGGGTGGGGGAAGGGAGGGCTGCTGGGTGTGCCAGGATGTCTTGCTGGAGCCCGGTGTGTGGATTGCAGCTATCGGACCCTTCAGGCGGCTGCCAGACCCACCGGGCAGTGCAGAGAAGGTGAGAGAAGCGCCAGGGCTGCCTCCCAGGGCTCTTCCCCGCCTCGCAGGCTTAGGGATCTCATGGGGCACATCATGGAGGTGGCACATCCCTGCCCTGAGGGCAGCTGCCCATGCCAGTGCCTCCACCTTGCACAGGCGTCCTTGGGAACCTTGCAGAGGGGAACCAAGTACCTGATGGGATCCATTCTGCTCTCCAGGTCTTTCCTGGCCAATTCCTGGCAGTTTTTTGCAGAGGTTTCCCAACCCTTAGTGCCTCCATGTGCACCTGCTATGTGGCATATGCCTGTGTGTTGGCTCCGATATAGACCTACTGTCCCCAGCCTCTGCTGGGGCTGCTGAGCTCTGTTTCTGCATTTTCCAACCTGACTTGGCCCCAGAGACCTCAGGGTGAGAAGCCAGGATAAGCACCCGCTTCCCTGCCCAGGTGAGGGGCATTTGCGCCCCTTTGGTCCCCTGGGCTTTGACTCAATGTCCATGGTCTTTGATGCAGCTTCTGTTCAAGAGCGGTGGTCAACCACACCTTGGCTGGCTGCAAAGTTGCTGGCAGAAAACAAAAATCCACTTCTCGGGTCACTGCAGGGCTCCTGCCAGTGCTGGGTGTCTCCCCTGGGCGAGCTGCTTGCCGGTGGCTCTGGGGCTGCTGCACCGAAGGCCGTCTTGTTGAAACCAAGGGAGTGTGGTAAGGCTTTGTGTCCCTTACCTAGCAGGAAAAGCAGAATTAATACCAGAAATAATAGCAGCAAAAGCTGCCATTTATCTTCCCAGTTCCCTTTGGAAGAGCCTGTGGTCCTGTAGGAGACCTGCAGGAGCAATGCTGTGTCCGGCTTGGCCGTGCAGTGCGGCTGCCTGGGAGATCTGCTCTCTGTTGATGCAGTTTGTGCCATTGGCATCGAGGCTTTAAGGACAGCGAGGTAAAGGCTGTCTTTAGAGCTATAGAAATAGTTTGGGGCAGCTGCAGGTCTTGTGGGTGGGCGTGCAGGGAAGTATGGGGCTTTGGTTCAAAAGCAGCAGCGTGTTGGTTTGGCACTGCCTACACTGGTGCGTCGAGGGCTCGGCTCCCCGCCTGAATCCTGCATGTGGGTGGCAGATGCCCGCACCACAACCAGGTGGTGAACAAAAGCAGTAAAGGCCTGAAGGGCTACATGCAGCCAAGCCCTTCGACGGAAGCGGGAGGCCGAACATGCTGGAGCGAACGCGTGCCAGAGTGTCAGTGCTGCTGGCTCTACGGCGGTGCACACACAGCCAGATGGGTGCAGCATGGGTGGGTGCAGAGGGCTCTCACAGCCCCTGCTGGGCACGGGTAGCCCTGGCATGAGCTGCATCAGTCCCCTTGACCGGTGAGGAAGCCACAGACATGGCCATGGCCACGCTGCAGCTGGTGGGAGCAGCTGGCAGATAACCCAGCATCTGAGTGCTGGGTTTATAACTATCACATATTTCTGGGATCCCCCTGCCACCCCTCAGCAGCATTGTTTGGAAGGAACAGGATGCCGGAAACATTACGCCAGGAAGCAGCTTTTATA